AGAGAATTGAATAATGGTATTTTTGTGGAAAGCAATAACAGCTAGTTTATTTTTATATAAGTAAAGAACAAAATCAGTTTAAGAAAAAACAGTGGGGCCAGGCTTGGTGGCTCTGCCTGTAATCCTGTGCTTTGGGAGGCTGAGGTGAGTGGATTGCCTGAGCCCGCGGGTTCGAGACCTGCCTGGGCAACTTGGCGAGACCTCATCTCTACAATAAATCAAGAAATTAGCCGGGCGTGGTAGTGCACACCTGTAGTTCTAGCTACTTGGAAGGCTGAAGCGGAAGGATTGCCAGAGCCCAGCAGGTCGAGGCTGCAGTGGCCGGGAGCGGCCACTGCACTCCAGTCTGCTGGGCGACAGAGTGAGACTCGAACTTCAAAAAAAAAAAGTAGGAACAGATCATTTCATTCATAATTAGAAATAAGTAGGAGCCAGGCTTGGTGGCTCAGCCTGTAATCCCGTGCTTTGGGAGGCTGAGGTGAGTGGATTGCCTGAGCCCACGGGTTCAAGACCCGCCTGGGCAACTTGGCAAGGCCTCATCTCTACAATAAATCAAAAATGAGCCGGGCTTGGTAGTGCACACCTGTAGTTCTAGCTACTTAGAAGGCTGAGGTGGAAGGATCGCCAGAGCCCAGCAAGTCGAGGCTGCGGTGGCTGGGAGCAGCCACTGCACTCCAGTCTGGGTGACAGAGTGAGACTCCAACTCAAAAAAAAAAAAGCAGTGGTATATGTGGAACAGATATTTGGCAGAACTATGAGGGTGATAATCAAACTCATTCATTTACTCATTTATATACTCCAATTTTTTTATTTTTATAGGGACAAGGTCAAATTCATTCATTTATTTATTTATATACTCGTCAAATTTTTACTTTATTTATTTAGAGACAAGGTCTTGCTATATTGCCCAGGGTGGTCTTGAACTCCTAGGCTTAAGTGGTCCTCCTGCCTCGGCCTCCCAAAGTGCTGGGACTACAGGCGTGAACTACCATACCCAGCCTGTACTCATCAAATGTTTATTGAGTGCTCTCTGTGCACTGGACAGTGTCATGCATACAGTTTACAAGGGAGACAAAGCCCCACCCTCATGCAGCTTATGTTCTCAGTAAGTCAGCATGGTAGGTATCACTGGATGGTATGAAGGCAAATCCCACAGGGTGTTGGGGCGGAATCCAGTGGGAGGGAATTCGCTTTAGATAGGGTAAAGTTTGAGCAAAGACTCATGTGAAGTGAGGCAGCAAGTTCTGCAAACATATAGGTAAAGAGCATTTTAGAAAGAGGGAACTAGGCTGGGCACGGTGGCTTACGCAGGCAATCACAGCACTCTGGGAGGCTGAGGTGGAAGGATCGCTTGAGACCTGGAGTTTGAGATCGGCCTGGAGTTTGAGATCAGCCTCGGAAGCCTGGTGAGACCTCATCTCTACAAAAAGTTAAAAAAATTAACTGGGCAGTGTGGCACACACCCATAGTCCCAGTTACTTGGAAGGCTAAGGTGAGAAGATTGATTGTACCTAGGATTTTGAGGATGCAGTGAGCTATGATTGTGTCATTGCACTCCAGCCTGGGTGACATAGCAATACCCTGTCTCTGAAAAAAAAGAAAAAAGAAAAGAAAAAGAGGGAGCTGTAAGTACAAAGGCCCCGAGGCAGCAGATGCTTAGAGTGTTTGAGAAAATGCTGTTTAGCAAAGGCACGTTTGGGAAACACCAGACTAGATGCTTCCAATGTCTACTCCAACACTGTGACCTTATCATAGTGACCCGGATAGTGGCGTTTTATAGTTTAAGGTGTGATTATCTAAGAACCTGGCTGTGGGAGGGGGTGGGGATTTATAGGGAGCAGAAAGGAGATCTATGGATGGACCCTTGGGTTCAGGCTGTCCCTAGAGTTGGGAAGATGGGGCAGTTTAGGCCCCCTGCATTACCTTTTTGCCTCTGGAGGAAGACTCATCATTTGTCACGTTTGTTTCATGACACAAAGTCCCTGCAGGAGACTGGATATAAGGACAAAGATGAGTCAGATGCAGTTCCCACATGCCCATCACCCCAGTGCGCTGGAGCAGGGAACCTGCAGTAGGACTGATACCCAGGGGTGTGAGGATTCAGAGGCCCTGGAGAAGGGGGCCGGGGCTCAGCTCTCACTGCAGGGACCCTGAGTGGGGCTCCTGGGACCTCAGAGCAGCTGCATTGTGGGGCTGTTGTAGGAGCGGGGAGGGAAGGGCAGGGCTGGCTGCATGATTACTGGGGCCCAGCAAGAAATGACTCCTATCCAGAAAGCAGGGGGAAAACACCCTTAAAAGGACTCAGGAGCTGGGCTCGGTGGCTCAGCCTGTAATCCCGCGCTTTGGGAGGCTGAGGTGAGTGAATTGCCTGAGCCCGCGGGTTTGAGACCTGCCTGGGCAACTTGGCGAGATCTCATCTCTACATAAATCAAAAACTAACCGGACATGGTAGCGCGCACCTGTAGTTCCAGCTACTTGGAAGGTTGAGGCGGAAGGAGCGCTGGAGCCCAGCAGGTCGAGGCTGCGGTGGCCGGGAGCGGATACTGCATTCCAGTCTGGGCGACAGAATGAGATTCCAACTCAAAAAAAAAAAAAAAAAAAGTACTCAGGAAGCCTTTTCCTTTCTTCCTCAGGCTCTCTCTTAGCATGTCGTGGTGCTTTTCATTTACTGTTTCATGTTGTTCTAAGTAAGGAGAAATCAAAACTTGGCATGAATTTTACCATTCCGCTTTATACTGAACAATGCCAGTGTTAAATGCAACTATCAGAGCCTTTCACTCGTATGCGGAATCATGAAATGACACAGTTCATATTTTGTGGCTCATTTCCACAGGTGCCTTGAGTGAGCCAGAAGGCCAAACTCAAGCCAGACTCAGGAGGGCTGTTGGGGGGGGCGGGGCGTGTGGAGTGCAGACTCATGAGGGTCCAGGCACTCTACGCACAATGCCAGCCAGGCACACATGCACCCTTGGGTGTAACTGCTGCTAGGTTTCTGCTCTCTCCAGATGCTGGACTGGCTGTTTCACCCTGTGATCTAGGGAAGCTGAGCAAGGTGTCCTGCCTTCCTAAGAGCCCATCGCGTATCCCATGGTGGACTGGCAACTCAAAGGATTTTAAAAGCTGTGTGTCAGGGCCGGCTCAGTCCCTGGGTCAGGGGTGGGCGAGAGGCTCCCTCCTGCCATGCTTCAGCCACCAGCTGGCTGCCCACAAGACACGCCATGGTGCTGCCAGCCCAGGGGCCCTGGGCCAGGGGAGCTGTCACTGTGCTCCACCCTGAGACGGCATGGGGCACACATGCTGACTCCAGTCCTCCCTGCTGGAGGTAGAGGGCTACAGTGTCACTGCAGAGCAGGGAGGGGGAAGGAGAGGCCAGGTGGGTCCTGGGGCGCCAGGGAGTGGGAGAACTGTCCGCCACCAACTCATCCTAGGGAGGCCATGGGAGGCAAGACCAAGTGTAAGCTCAGACTCTGACCCTGGCTGCACTTACAAAACACAAGTTCAAGGATGAAATCCTTAAGACTTTCAAGCCGGGCTCAGTGGCTCAGCCTGTAATCCCACGCTTTGGGAGGCTAAGGTGAGTGGATTGCCTGAGCCCACGGGTTCGAGACCCGCTTGGGCAACTTGGTGAGACCTCGTCTCTACAATAAATCAAAAATTAGCCGGGCGTGGTAGCACGCCCCTGTAGTTCCAGCTACTTGGAAGGCTGAGGCGGAAGGATCGCTGGAGCCCAGCAGGTTGAGGCTGCGGTGGCCGGGAGTGGCCACTGCACTCCAGTCTAGGCGACAGAGCGAGACTCCAACTCAAAAAAAAAAAAAAGACTTTCAAGATGGCCACACAGGACATTCAACCCCAATGGTGGGGTCCTTCTGAGTGTGCAAACTTTTATGAATACAATGTGCCAATAGGCCTACAAAGCCAGCCCTAGGGAAAAGAGCTGAGGGACATTCTTCAAGTCGCTTGTCATTTCTGGGCCTCAGTTTCCCTTGGGTCATACATGGTGGGGAATTTCCTGTAACAAGGGAGGGACTCACTGTGTGGTCCCATATGGACGGGGCCTGGGCAGCCTTGGGGCCTGACCTCTGTCTCCCTCTCACAGTGCTTTACCCCATGTTAGCATGCTTAATCCCAATAACCCTAGAGGCTGGTGGTATTAGTTCCTTAGTGTCTAGTGAGGACACTAAGACCTAATGGGGTTAAACAACCTTCTGCGGGGGCGTAGTGAAAACTGGTGGCACAGTCAGTTTGCAGCAGGCAGTGGGGGCTCCAAATCCCCCTCTCGTTGGTCTTGCATCCTGTGCCCCTCATCCCTCCTCCCTGCGTGGGCCCTAGGGCTCCCCAGCTTCTCTCACTAGAACATGGTATCTCAGCTTCAGCCCCCACCAGCCCGAGCTGTCTCTCAGCACTCCCCTGGCCACGGTCCCAACAGAGGGTCTCCCTTGGGCCAGCTCCCTTCTCAGGTCCCTGCACAGGTTGCTGGCCAGCTTTTGGAATGGCGGCTCTTGGGGTAGGAACCCACCCACGTCATCGGCCGTGACTGGGCAGGGCAGCAGGCATGTGACATAGAAAGAGCAGGGAGGACCGTGGAGAGTGGTGTCCCTTAGGTGGGGTGTGGGGAGCCCAGGAGGCTGCCCATCCTGACCTGTACCACCCCAGGGTCTGGAGATGAGACCTTGTCTGAAGGAAGAGCCAGAGAATCCTGACCCCTCGCCTAGGCCCAGGCTTTTGTTGGGAGAGTCTTCCGTCCAAAGCTGACAGCAGGCTGCAACATCAGGTGCAGGTTTCCCCGCCAGCCCCCTACTCCCACCCCCAGTAGTACCAGCTATTCCTCCTCTAGCATAAACAAGCACAGAGTTAGCTCTGTGGGAGACTTCCTCCATGGCCTGGGGCTTCCTTGCTACCTTCCTGGCCCATCCAGGGCAGGAACCGCAACTGGCAGTCACTATGTCTCTGGGTAGCCCCCCCTACTCACCCTGCTGTCTCTTCTTCCCTGCACATGACAGAGCTCCGCCTGGAAGGAAACTTTCTACATCGCCTCCCCAGCGAGGTCAGTGCCCTGCAGCATCTCAAGGCCATTGACCTGTCCCGGAACCAGTTCCAAGACTTCCCTGAGCAGCTAACCACTCTGCCAGCACTGGAGACCATCAACCTGGAGGAGAACGAAATCGTGGGTGAGTGAAACTGACCCACCTGGCCCTGGGCTGCTGCACGAGGCTCTCCCTGGGCAGGTCGCTCTGGATTGACCTTCATGCAGGAGGGGAAGCTTGGGCTTTCTGGCCTGAAACACCTGAGCAAACGGGTCTGGGTCTGGAACGACAGCCATTTTGAGGCCCTGTCTCCTGCCAGGTGCCAGGTTGGAACCTGCTCTTCCCCGGCAGGTAGATGACCTTGGCTTTCCCCATAGTGCAGTCCTGAACTTGCCAAACCACCGTGGACCACCAGCTCTCTCTGGTCTCTCTTGGCCAGCCTAGGCTATTCTTGAAGACCCTTTGGCTCTGCCCTCGGTAGACTGGCTTATTCCTCCCTGAGCCCCCTGCCTTCACGAAGACCTCCTCACCATAACTGAGCAGAGGCTGCTAGGCAGATGTGCTCAGGACCACTCTGTGCCTTCCAAAACAGCCATGCTCCTTCCTGTCAGCCCAGCCCCCTGGGGCCCCACCTCTGGGAATTCCAGGGGTCTGATAGGTGTCTTTTACAAACCGCAGACCCCAGGGTCCTGGGTTCTGCTGAGGATGAGGAGCAGTCCTTTCTTCCTCTTGTGGCAATTATAAGCCTCCTGTCTCATCAGGGCCTTGGAGTGTCCATTCCAGCTGGCACTCTAATCTCCCCAGAGAACGGGTCTCACTGTGCCCTCTCCTCCTCGGCACCCTCCTACAGCGTACTTTCACCCTCTCTCACATTGCCTCTCATGTTGATGCCGTTCTAATGCCAACGATGTTAATAATAGCCCCTTCAGTTATGCTTTCATTTCTGGAAGCCCTTTTACAGCCATTATGCCATTTGATTAAAAGCAAGCGTCTTCTAGTGGTTTGCATTTGTCTGATGGGGAATGGCCTGCCTCGTGCGGTGCCATCTATCCAGGGTGCTGTAGGCAGGACTACAACCCTGGCTGGGTGGAAGGTGAGACCAGCTGACCTTTTAGGTTCTGGGTCTCTTCTGTGACGGATGAGTAAACTGAGGCTCAAGCACATTATAAGAGAGCATCAGGTTGCACAGTGAGACTGTCACAGGGTCAGCACTAGAACATATGATTCTAAAACTCAGCCCTGTGTCTGGGATGTGGACATCCCTTGCCTGGCCTCTGGGAAGGCCCTGGGGATGGACCCTGGCTCAGCCTTGCGCTCCCAAGGCTGGGGTCCCCAAGCGGCTTGTCCCTGGGTTGGCTCCCCAGTCACCTGGGCCTCTGCGCATTCTTTAAGCAGAAGGAGGCTGCCCAGAAGTGCCTTGTCACTGAGGGCCTCCCTTTCCTGTGCTCTCCTGATCACAGAGGGTCTTGCTGCTCAGCCCTTCATTCCCTGCATTCCTGGCCAGGCCTTCCTTGCCTGGATCCTTTCTCTCCAGTCTCTTACACATCCAGGCCTTTCCTGATGCCTCTGCTTCTTTCTAAGCTGCTTATCCAAATAGGGGATACCCGAGCAAGGGTTACCACAGCCGATGCCAAGACCAGAGCGAGCTGGGCATGTAGCTGGTAGGCAGGTGGGTCAGGACAAGTGCTGTTCTTGGCCCCACATCCTACCTGCAGTCTTGAAAGACTCAGCAGCTCTCTGAGCCTCAGCTTCCTCTCATCTTTCAAATGGGGATCTCCCCCACCCCCAGGAGATGGTCAGAGAGAAGAAGGTGGCTTTTTCCCAGGCAGGGGAGCGGCCTGATGGGCATCTGTGGGCTGCAGTCAAGAAATGACTTTCACTAAAGCAGGCAGCACAGGGTGGCCCAGATCCCTTACTACGTCCCCTTCTATAAGGTGACAATATCCTCCAGCAGCAACAGCCCTGGAACAAAGATGGGTGTACATATTTCTGCCTTTCTGAAGACTTAATAACTTCTTGTACATAGAACATCTGACATCTTACCCAAAACAGTCATGTGCAGTTCCACATCCACAGAATGATAGTTCTCCTTGGACACCTGTAGAGACTGAGGCCCTAAGCCTTCATGCACACCTATCTCACACCTGGCCAGGTAAGAGACATCAGCAACTGGACTGTGTTTCCCAGTCGGTTGAGCCTGGGACAGAGCCTCTGCTACCTGGCCCAGGCCAGGCCTGGGTGACACGAGATGCTAGGGCCTGGTGCTCTGGTTTTTCCCAAGTGACCTATTGCTGCTCCCAGAGGAACTCAACTGACCCCAGGGCTCTGTCACTGTGGGAGGCCTTGGTTGTTCTCCTCCGCCCCCTGGCTGGAGAGAAGGGCCATGTGGAGGCACCCCTGCTCCCTTGCTGGAGTCTCTCTGCTTCTATTTTTACCTCTCTTGATCCATTCTAGTTACCTGAGTGGCTTCTCAACTCCCAGCCCGGGGACATGGCCAGGCCATGGCCTTCACGCACACATTAGAGGGGTGTGAGCCCCAAGGGACATGGGGTGGGGGAAGTAGGGTTGTATTACAGTGGAGAAGGCAAGGGCTGCACAGTCCTTCATTATGGAAATAGCTTTTCACTATTCACTGCTTATAGCTGGTCTCCCGCAGGGTCTCACTGGGATAATTGTAGAAGGGGCTCAGGATGCCTTCAGAGTAGCTCATTTTTCCCTTCAGAACTCTTAGAGGGGTTTGAAAAATATAACAAAATTGTTATGAGAAATAAATTGGAGATGCATGAGATGCCTTAAAGCTTTTAGTAAGTAGAGTAACAGGCAGCTCTGAAACAAGCCCCCAAGTGCATTGGAAGGGAGGGTACCCATCCTAAAAGGATCTCCCTCCTCCAGCCTGGCTTCAGGAAGACCTGCAGACTCTCAGCATCCTGGCGGCTGCCAGGATCAACCCAGTCATCCTCTTGTTTTCCAACAGTGCTGCCATCTGATCTTCTTCCACCCTCTAGGCTGTTATTAGGGGAGAGGAAAAGAGAGGGCTTCATTCCATGGAGGAGAGAAGGGCTAGAACTTCAACAGGGCATGTAGGCTGGGAGGTGCAGGGCTGTTGCTGCTGGAGGATATTATCACCTTATAGAAGGGGAAGTATTAAGGGATCTGGGCCACCCTGTGCTGCTTACTTTGGTGAAAGTCATTTCTTGACTGCAGCCCACAGGTGCCCACTGGGCCTGCTCCCCTGCCTGGGAAAAAGCCACCTTCTTTTTTTTTTTTTTTTGAGTTGGAGTCTCACTCTGTCGCCCAGGCTGGAGTGCAGTGGCATGCTCACAGTCACCACAGCCTCTACCTGCTGGGCTCTGGCGATCCTTCTGCCTCAGCCTTCCGAGTAGCTGGAACTACAGATGTGTGCTACCACGCCCGGCTGATTTTTTGATTTATTGTAGAGATGAGGTCTTGCCAAGTTGCCCAGGCGGGTCTCGAACCCATGGGCTCAGGCAATCCACTCACCTCAGCCTCCCAAGGCGTGGGATTACAGGCTGAGCCACTGAGCCTGGCTAAAGCCACCTTCTTATCTCTGACCACCTCCTGGGGGTGGGGGAGACCCCCATTTGAAAGATGAGAGGAAGCTGAGGCTCAGAGAGCTGCTGAGTCTTTCAAGACTGCAGGCAGGATGTGGGGCCAAGAACAGCACTTGTCCTGACCCACCTGCCTACCAGCTACTTGCCCAGCTTGCTCTGGTCTTGGCATCGGCTGTGGTAACCCTTGCTCGGGTATCCCCCATTTGGATAAGGGAGGGGCAGGGACTTCTGATGCCAGCCACTGGGAGGTGGTGGTGCCTGTCTATGGTGCTTACTGGTGGCTGAATGCCCTCAAGTCTCGGACCTGAGTAGCACATGGCTGCCTTTGTTGCTGCCATCTTGGGCACACAGCTCTTGGGTCTATGTGTGTGACCCTTCTCTGTTCTCGAGGGTGGTCTCCACGCCCTCTCCTCTTGGGAACTACCTGCATCTGGTGTGGGGTCTGGTACACAGCAGGTGCTCAGTTGGTTGGGAGCACCCTGTCGAGCAAGAATTCCAAAGCCTCGAAGCTCCTGTGAAATAACTGAGACACAATAGGGCAGATCATGTCAAGTTGAAGGCTATGACCTACTCATGAATCGTAAAGTCAGATTAGTGGGTGGAGACCAGCAATTTTTTAATGGAATAGAAGATGTCAGAGTACATCACCACACATATCATGGTAATTAATATTTTGCGACTTCTAATTTCAGTTTTACTACAAGTGTGCACGAGTATATATACTGGGTCATGATGAAAATTTGTATTCCTTACTGTGAGTCATGATGAAAAAATAGGGAAATCCACTCCCTTGAGTTGTCCTACAGAGTCTGTTCTCAGCCCACCTAACCACCTGTCCCCCCAGCTCATGCCCCTGACCACACTATGCAGTCTTCCCTCCTCTCATCCTCACTTCTCACTTACCCTGCACAGCCTGTGTTCTCAGTCTAGAAGTCCTTCTCATGTCTTACGATTTTCTCTACCTGTGGCCAAATCTCCTGAGTCGGAACATATGGGCCAGGTTCAGACAAACAGGAAGCAGAGCAGGTCTAGGGGCCTCTTTCCTCCCTCAACTGGTTCCTGACAGACACACCTGCACGTGCTTCCCAGCCAGCTGAGAGTCCCCTGGGTCCTTGGGGACTGGGCTGGCAGTATATAGTTGTTTACTCTGGACCAGTCCCATGAGGGAAGAAAGAGTTTGTAGCTTAGAATATTTGTCCACACAGCAGTCATTTACAAGTTTCTGGGACATGGAATGGTCCCAAATATTTTCCAAATCAGAAAGTCTATATGGATGTTTTAAAGTATTTGAAGACAAGACTGACTAGGAAATAGAATCTCCAGAGAAGCAGACCTGTCCTGACCTCAAGTTGCTTGCAGGTGGCAGTGTAAGCAAATATTAGACTACCAGTGAGGGCAAAGTCATAGGCATAAGGGAGGTCAGACGTGCTACAGCATGCCAGGGAGGGAACCCTCAGTGGAGGGTGGCTGTCCATGTGACCTTGTAGGATGGGAGGATCCAAGGAAGGTTTCTGAGAAAGTGGAACCATTTAGTGTGGCTATATGCAATGACATGGGGACATGATGGGTTCC